TAATCTTAAATTGGGAGAAGCTAAAGAAGACCCAGATGTAGATAAAGGGGCCTACCAGAGACTTGTTGGGAAATTGATCTACCTCTCCCAAACTAGATCAGACATAGCATTTTTTGTAAGCAACGTCAGTCAGTTTATGCAGAATCCAAAGCAGATTCACATGCAAGCAGTAGACAGGATATTGCACTACCTTAAAGGAAGACCAGGAAAAGGAATTCTCTTTAAGAGAGATCGTGGAATGACACTAGAAGTATACACGGATGCTGACTACGCAGGATCACCGGTTGATAGAAGATCTACCTCTGGGTATTGCACATTTCTTGGAGGTAACCTAGTTACATGGAGAAGCAAGAAACAGAATGTGGTGGCAAGATCCAGTGCAGAAGCAGAATATCGAGCTATGGCCTTGGGAATATGTGAGCTACTATGGATCAAAATAATCCTAGAAGATCTAAAGGTTAAGTCGGATGAGCCCATGAAGCTACATTGTGACAACAAGTCAGCAATCAGCATATCCCACAATCAAATCCAGCACGACAGGAACAAGCACATAGAAGTAGACAGACATTTTATTAAAGAAAAATTAGATAGTGGTCTAGTACATGTTGACCATGTATCATCAAAGAATCAACTTGCAGATTTCCTTACTAAAGGATTGGACAGTTCTTCCTTTCTCCAAATGATTGACAAGCTGGGAATGACGGATCCATATTTCCCAGCTTGAGGGGGAGTGTTAAATCTCAACCTCACGATCACAACAGAAATCCACGGTTGTGAACAGTAATCCATGGGAAGACTACCAGGATCACATTAATTCCTTCCATAGTTGATTTATTGATTCAGGAATAATTGTATTATCATTATTATAGAGTTATTTGTTTCCTTATCAATACACCTTGTATAGATCTATAAATAGGGACTGAATTGCATAATAAAATTTAAGTTTTCCTCTCAAACTTCTTGATTGCAACAAAAATAATATTAAAAATTTTAGTAAGCCAAGAAATTCTTTCATCTCCTAAGCATTTTCCACACCTCTAATTAAATATCATCAAGTCCAATAAGTTTTCCACACTTCATTTTATTTAAAGCCTCTCTAACTTCAGTTTTACTAATACATCAATAAAAATAAAAATCTCTATTTTCATTTAGAGTGTTGAGGTCACTAAAGTCAATTGTATTCTCACAATCTTCATTGAAAAGCTTAACAAAATATCTCGTCCACCTTTGTTGAATATCATTTTAAAAAAAAAATACTTTTTGATAATCATCCTTAATGCACTTCACTTGAACTAAATCATTATTACTCTTATCTCTTTGTTTGGCTAACTTATACATATATCTTTCGCCCTATTTAAGATATAATCGATTATAAAAATCATCAAAAGCTAAAATCTTTGCATCACAGATAGCTTTTTTAGACACCTTATGGTCTCTTTATATCTTTCTCAATTTTCAGAGTTTTTAAATCTAACCAATTATTATAACAAAGATTCTTATTTTTTATCTTTTCTTGTACATTTTGATTTCATCACCAACTATTTTTATTATTAGAAGCTTTTCTTTTAGAAATTCCAACCACATCCTTTGCATCATTTTTAAAATTACTAGCTACTTTTTCTCACATAACATTTGCTTCCTCCTATATAGATAAAATCTTAAGATCTTGAATTTTACTTTTAATAATATTGTTATTAGTATTCTTTTAATGCCTCCATATAATCTTAGAATAACGTTTTTCTATATTTTTCATATGCTACCATACCCCTTCATCTTAAAGTCCAAAATTAATAAGCGATATTGGGTACATAAAATTTGAATCAGAATAACTTTACAATCTTTGCAATCTAAATGATCTAATTTTCTTATAAGAAAATAATTAATTTTAGTTTTACTATATCTATCCTTATAAGTGATGATATGTTTATCTCTTTTCTTAAAAAAGATATTAACAATTACAAAATCATAAGCTAGAACAAAATTTGATATAATCTTATGACCTTTATTAGTTACTTCAAACCCATAGCCACCATAAATACTTTTAAAATCCTCTAACTCTCTACCAACATGTCCATTTAAATCTCCTCCAATAAAAACTCTTTCTTCAAGAGGTATCTTTTGAATTAATTTTTTTAAGTCAAACCAAAATTTTAATTTTAAACGCATATCCAAAACTACTTGAGGAGTATAAGCATTTATAATATTAATAATCTTACATCAATAATCTTTGTGGGCCTCTAAAAGAACACCGCTCTGTGGGGGACAGAATACAAATGATATGATCACACTATCTCGTAGGACACAACGATCGCAGACTTTTGCACTCTTCGCAAACGGGCCAATACGAGGGCAGATAAGATCATACATACAATTAACCATTGAGAATAACGGTTTTTGCCTACACACCTCGATGAGTAATAATATGCATAACCTGATCAAAGTCATGAGATTTCTCCCACCCGATATATTAGCTCGAGTGGGTTTTATTTGATGTGGGATTCGGTTTCCCATGGGCGTAAGCCCCCGTAGTTAATTACATCTTAAGCTAGAGCCTAAGAAGACTCAATTAAGGATTATATATGATTCTCTCAAATGGGATTGACACATAGGGAGGAGTCTAGGAACTTCCAATTCAAAAGGAAAGAAATGTTCAACTTGGCTTAGTCAACATGCGTGACTCACATCATTATCCAGAAGAACTAAGGTAGTGAAAAGAAACTGAAAAAAAAGACAAAACTACACTCAGAGCATATAAAAGAAAAAGATGGAAGTGGCGTCATCCATGTGACGCAGATAGGTGAGATTTATAGCATCTGAAGGATGGAGAACTTACCCACCGATGAGACATACTACGTGACACTGATAGTAGTAGCATTGAACCCTAAATCTAGAGTGGGTTTAGTATTCTACACACAACACTAACACATGTATCCTAATTAATGCATTCTAAACTTATATCATGTCTGAAAAGGAAAGACAGCTAACCACCTAGTCGTATAAAATGCATGTTGTCTGGTCTTTATTATAAGATGGGTGGGTGACTAAGTTTTTGAAAATCAAGGCCGACATCTAGAGAGGTTACTAAGTGGCCTTCTACTTATGAAGGATATTATGCCCCTAAAACTAATGCAATTAAATTTTAATTTTAATTAATTTCTAATGAAACGCGTACTAGTTAAAAGTATCTAAATCATGAATGCTTGAAGTTTTAAAAAGGCTTAAAAATATTTTTTTTAGAAGACTAGGCTTCCCCAGGTTTAGCACCTCATCCTTATATGTCGGATTATCTGAACTCTACCTGCATGCGGGAAAATGTCTTAAAGGAAAGAGATGATGCATTAATATGCATGCGTTTAATCTCAAACTCTACCTGCATGCGGGAAATTTTTTAATTAAAGTTTAAATTTTAATGTTATGAGATTAATTTCAATTAATTTAGTGGGTTGGTCAATTTTAATGCTTAGGATAGTATTCTCTAAAATTTAAGTTGAGTAAGCGAATTTTAGAAGGTCCGTGGTCATCCTGTCTATTAGGTTAAAGGGGTCCAAAGTTAACTTTTAAAAACAAGACAAGTTTTGGGATCCTAGTATTTTATCAAACAGACCTTATGGAGAGTAATTAGAATTTGAGTTTGCTGGATTTGAAGTTTTCTATGCAAAATTATGACTTACAAAAGTTTTGGGCCTAGTTCTTGAACTACGGTTGACCGAGTTAGTTTTTTAATTTAGGTTGGTTTTTGGAATAATCAGATTTTTAATAAATACTAGATTTTAATTAGAGTTGAATGCCTTTTAGTTCACCCTATTTAGATTTTTCTATAATTAGTTATGATTTTTCAAAATTTGGGTATTTAGTGAATTATTAAAATCGTCTAATTAAGGGTGTTTTAGAGATTTTGATCCAAATCAGCTCCAAAAGTTAGGAATAACCTAAGGAAGAGTTTTCAAATGTTTGAGAAAATTTTGAAATTTTTAATGATTTTTTTATTATTTAATTTAATTAAAAGGGTTATTTTTAATCGAAATTAAATTAATGTTCAAATTAAGGTCCAATTAAAAGACTTTTAATTTTCTTGGATTAAGGGTTAAATTCTAAAGGGTTTGATATATCTTTCACAATTTTTGGATTTAATTTGAATTTATTAGATTTTTTTTAAGTTATCGGAGTTTAATTAAAATATGAATTAGGGTTTGTAATTAAGTGGCTTAAAGGACCCTAAAAAATCCTAGAAAATTCTAGGGGATTTGAAATGTCACTAAGTTTAAATGTTTTAAATTTCATGTCATTCAAAGGTGTATCCTAGTCCCTAGAATTTCTCTAAGTTTTCTAGACGGGTCCTTAATTATTGTCCTTAAAGTGTCATTAGGTTAAATATGTTTAAATCAAATGTGATGAACCAATTCCGTATCAGGTTCATCCTCGTCATCGACAACCTCTTCAATTATGGTGACCTTAATGGGGCTTGAACACTGTGAGACAATGTGCCCATAATCATGACAATTAAAACACTTGATTACATGGTTAGTTTTAGGCGCCTCACGCTCAGGAGTTTTACCTTTATAGTCAAGGCGGGGTTGGAATTGACCAACAGTGGGTCGAACAGTCATAAAAGCAGGAGGTTTGTTTTGAGGTTGACTGTAGAAAGTTTTAAAGGATGCAAACGAGAGTCTTGGTTTCTAAAATGAGACAGAGTCCTAGATCCTTCTAAATAAAGTACAAGAGTGCAAGCTGCTTCCAAAGTAATAACTCCTCTAGCGAAAAGTTCATTACGAAGGTCTTCCCTAAGGCCAGCTCTAAACATGGATAGGATTTGAGCAGGTGTGGTGGTCTCTTCGCCACTACGACGAACCATGTAATCATCAAAGACAGACATATAATCTTTCACGGATTTACTACCCTGAGTCAGTATATTCCATCTATCTAAAAGTCTAGGGTAGTAAGATGGAGGGAGTTATTTTTGCTTGAGTTCTTGCTTCATATCTTGTCGGTCAATGACGGGGTATTCACCTCGAGCTTCACACATGTTTTCTAAGTTTCTCTAGTATTGACTAGCTCTTCCAGTAAGGTTCATTTCAGCGAACCTAACCTTCTTAGATTCCGCTATATTATACCACTTGAAATAACTATCCATTCCTTTAAGCCAATACAGAAAAACTTAAGGATTGAGGGTACCATCAAAGAAAGGGACATCTATACGGATATTCTTAAGTAATTGAGCGCATTATCTCTCCAGTTTTGGATCATGACTTATGATTGGCCTATGATGGTAATGACGGTAAGGGTCTCATGGAGGTCCGTTATGAGCTAGTGCCTCTTCAACAAAAGGGGAAGAAGGCCTAGAAGGGATATACATCATTTAGTTCCCTAGTCTTTTAATGTGGTATAAATGTTCTTCAGCTTGTCATCTAAAGTTAGTTAACTTGCCTTGGGTTTCTCTTATTTGTTGGGTCATAATTTCTAACTATCCTACAATTAAGTCTAAAGTACGCTAAATTTGCTCGGGATCCATTAACTCAAATTAGGTAACTAATGTAGACAAAACAATAATGTAAATATGATATATGGAGGTGGATGCAAGCTATGACATCTACTAAAAGCAAGTGGGGAATCCTGTTGATTCTTGTTGAATCTAGAATAGGTTGTTAAACCTAAACTAATGTCCCAAGGCTAACCAAGAGTGGGGGTGAATTGATAATTTAAAAATTACTCTCTTGGATTTAAAAATTGAAACCAATTATTGATTTGTAGCAATTTAATTGAAACTATTTGAAAGCAAAATTTTCAACCACGAAATTAAAATTGCAATAAGCAGTGAAAATTAAAATGATACAAAGATTTAAAGTGGTTCGGTCAAACATGACCTATCCACTCCCCGAAGACTCCCTCTTTAGGTATTGCACTATTACTAAAGTCACTCTCTATTTGCCCCCACAGCAAGGCGGAGAAGCTTTTACAAAACTCTCTTCCACCAATCCCTGGTGCGGAAGAAAACCGTCGTCCTTTTACACCCTCCAAGTGTAGGCAGAGAACCTTCGTCTTTTCACACCCTCCAAGTGTAGGCAAAGTACCTTCATCCTTTCACACCCTCCAAGTGTAGGCAGAGTACCTTCAGCTGTTCACACTCTCCAAGTGTCGGCAGAGAACCGTAGGTTGTTCACACTTATCAAGTGTCGGCAGAGAACCAGATCTTCTTCAAAGATCTTCTCACGAGCAATCTAGAAAGATAAGAGGAAGAGTGAAAAACTCAAATCACACATAGAGATCATTACCTTTGAGTAACCTTGTGAACCACTCACATTCCACTAGCAAGAAATCTCTCTCAAACACTCTCTTACACTCTCTCCTTCAATTGCCCTTGAAAATTCACGAAGCAAAGATTTTTAACGTCAGTCTTTAATAGAGCTTTTATACAAAAGACACGAAAAACCGTCCAGAAAACTGAATTTTTCAATTTTCAGTGTACACGATCGTATTGTACGATCGTATGTTTGTACGTATGAACAGTTCAATACTGTTATGTACGAACCTGTTGTGAATCGGTACGTACGAGCATCGTCAGGTACGAACTAAGTTCGTCTGGGATGAACTGTTAGAAAATTTCAAATTTCATGTGTACGAAACGTCAGGACAAAATGAGCGAGAACATACCTGAGACATTTGTCCTGATACGAAACAGGAATCGTCCCGTACGATCTTCGTGCAAGAACAAAACAGAGGTGTTCGTCCCTGTATGAAGACAAAAATCGTCCTGTGCGATCTTCATGCGAGAACAAAACAGAGGCGTTCGTCCCTATATGAAAACAAAAATTGTCACGTACGATCTTCGTGCGAGAACAAAACAAAGGTGTTCGTCCCTATACGAAGACTGGGATCGTCCCGTACGATTCATACTTAGAAGAAATATTTTAATTTATGTTCGTTCAACTGCTCGTCGGGAAAAAAATAACTGATCAGATCGTCCCGTACGAAGTAATATCGTACATTACGATTAGTTTAAAAATATAAATTTTAAACTCTTCCCCGGTGTGTGTGCTCAGTTACTCAATTACAATCACACTCTCTCAGACTTAATAAAATGAAAAATACATAATTCAATTATAATAAACTCTAAATTGATCTTGATTTGAAGTTTTCAACAATCCGGAGATGATTTCCCTGAAATGTTAATACACACAAGAGCAAAATAATTCTTCCAAAATATGTTAGGAGAAATAATAATCAAATCAATAATATTTGTGATCATAAAAAACATACAAGTTGTAAGAATATCAAACATGCAAAACTAAGAAGTAATTATCTCAACAAATCCTAGAATGCAACTAAAATACAACCATGCTTTTTGATACCAAGATGTTGTGAAATATAAAAGAAATTGCAGGAACTTAATAAAATTTGTTAAGCTTGCCAATTTTAAAATTAATGTTACACAAGATTAAATTCTAGAATTTCTCAGTTGTTATTTTGCTTTGGCATGCAGTTACAAAATAGATTAGAAGGGCAATTTAAAATAACAACAAAATTATAATAAAGCTAAGTGCGCAAATAATAAAAATCCATTGGTTAACGATTAGAAAATTCACCTTAAGTTCCCCTCACTCACACTCTTAAGCGCTATTTAGCGGAGGAATAATTTCAGCAAACTTAATGACGCCACCAAAAGACAGAAGATGAATGCAGTATTGCCCAACGAAAACTTATCCAGAGGGGAAGAAGTCGGTGGATGTTGGAGAACTTGCCACTGTCCGGAGGTTTGATGCTCGTCGATGGTGGTCGTCAAACTGAAGAGGACCTAATCGACGTAGTCTTCGACGGTGTAATCGATCTCCAAATTGATGTCAAAGAAGGGTGATTTCAACACATCTACTCGTCCTTGATGATTGTATACGAACCCATGGTCTTGTTCAGGATCGGCCATTCATGGGAGAGTAGGACGGGGTTGTGTATCTTCTTCCAAGGATGGTGTATGAAGCAAGGGAGAAGAGATGGAGAGGAAAAGGGAGAGGTTTGGGTGGTCAGCCAATGCTAGGAGAGGGGCCACTTTAATTTCAGATTTTAGGTTTAAGTTGGTGAAGGGGAAATAAATTAAATCTAAAATTTAATTTCAGATTTTAGAATTGGAAATGAGAGAATAATTTTGAAATTCGAATCTCCTCTAATTGGGGAATATGTGGGGCGGCACACCTTGAAAGGAGGACTTTGAATGAGAGCAAAAAGGGGAGGAATTAATTAAGAGAGAGGGATTGGGGGGCCTACCAAAGGAGAGGGGAGGGAGTGTCCACATTCAATGAATGTGTCTACATGCAATGAATATGGAATTTGGAATTAAATCCAATTGAATTTCAGATTGGTAGCAATTAGGGGAGCTTCCAAAATAGGTTTAGGCTACTTAGGAAAGATTTTGAAATTCAAATTTATTTGAATTTGAATTAAGAGAATTTCCCAACTAGTAATGGGCTAAATTAGGAAAGACTTAAAAAGGCAATTTGAATTGAAATCAAGGGGATTGGGGTTCGGCCGGCAGCTACGGTTTGGGGAATAGGATGGCCGGAGGCTATAAGAGGGGGAGGGTTTAGGGTCGGCAGCAATGGGGGGTTTTGAGGCTTTGGCCAATGGCTATGGAGGAGGAGGACCTTGGGGCTGATGGCTATGGAGGAGGAGGACCTTGGGGCCGGCTACTAGGGAAGCGGTTTTGGGGAGGCTTAGGTCGGGAATTTTGGTGTCTTTGGTTGGCAGGTGTTGGAGAAGAGGGAGAGATTTGGAGAAAGAAAAGTGACCACGAACCCGGACACTTCTTGCGGCTGGTGGGTGTTGATTTGCCCTCACCTAGGGGCTTCACCTCTCTCTAGAGCTCTCAACACTCAAAGGAACTAGAAGGCTGAAATTTAATTAAGCAATCATCATCATCTCAATACAAAAGCTATGGCCTTCATATATAAGCCTCAAGGAACAAAACACAAAGACTAAATTGCCCTCTGGGCTACAACACAAACTAATCCCTCTCAGGGGTACAATGGTAAAAACTATAACATAAATAAAGAAATACATAAAATGCATCACAAGTAAAGACTCCTAATCGTAGCCGTCGATCTACAATGTCTCCTCTATTAGATGTGCCAGAATCTCCTACTGATGTCCTCATCAAGTTAACTTCAACATCAATTGATCAATTGGAAAGTAAGAACAAGAAACAACAATGAAAATAGAGTGGCATAAAATTTTCTATCTATTACAATAAATTTCACTGATAAATGGAAAGTTTAATAACAACAGATTCCTTGTTAAAAGTTCAAAATTCAATACAATAACCTTTAAAAAAATAAATAAATATTCCAGTATGCAATATTGAAGAACTTAGAACTGATGTACCTCACAACATAATATTACAGTTGTGAAACTAAAAATATGATATTAATGAAGATCTAATAGAACAGATAAAAAATTCTATTTCATCAAGATGGGGCCATTATAATAATTCTGATAGCAAAAAGGTCACCAACCTGTATGCAGCTTGAACAGAAACTTGCCTCTTCTTAACCGAAATCATAGTTTTTTTATGGTGAATTGTACCAAATGACAAGTTCAGAGAGTTTGGGAGAAATTTATGTGATGGCTTCACGTGAGAACCTTAAAACAAAAGGGAAGAATAAGGGAAAAGATGGAACAAACAATCAATAATAGAGAACATTTGCAGCTGGGTCACTTACAAAAAGATGACTTCCTCAAGTTACTGGAAAAATAAATTGATGATTGAACTATAGGAAAATATAAGTTAGAACTTATACATGCCAATAGTTGGTTAGAAGCAAAGCCATGACAGTATAATTTATACAGAAATGAAAACTAAATATTTAATCTATGATTAACACAGCTACAATAGATGCCACTAAATGGGGCTTATCCTTTCTGAAGCAGACCAAGGTGTGATGAGGCATCGTACAAGTATATATGTGCATATAAAAATCCATATAATAATGTAAACATATCAGAACAACGAAATAAAAAAAAATTACATCAAAAATTTGTTATGTTTAAGTTATATACTAACTTAATCTGAATAACCAACGGCAAATCTTTCTTTTTTAGATTATTGGGTAAGAGCAAAAACAAAGGTTCACAATAAAGAAGACTCCCATATTCATGGATGGTCGATCCTGAAGTCGACCACTGATTTGTGTACGATTCTCAAGGACAAATTGATATCATTTAGTCGTTATTCTTCGATCCCGACTAGGAGTTTGAAGATTCCGTCGAAGACTACGTCGACCGCATTTTATTTCATCTAGCCAAGACGAACAACAAACAACGACCATCCAAACAGATGCAACTCGTCGAACGTCCACCTGCGCCTCCTTCTCCGGCTACCTTCCCGTGGATCAAGACCGTCGGCATCATAACTTTCTTGGTGGCATCCTGTGGATTGCTGAAAATCTTGCTCCACTAAAGCCCCACATAGAATGTGAGTGAGAAAGGGGACTCTAGGTGAAAAGCTCTAAATATTAACATGTGAAATCTTATTACGACACATTTAGTTTTGTTGTAATTTTTTTGATATTATTTTAAGCGTTCTGATCTCCTAAAATTGTGATTGCATGCCAAAGCAAGATGAAAATTGATAATTCTTAAAATTAATTATTGAGTCTCATTAATCTTAAAGTAGCAAGCTTTACGATAATTTTATTATTTCCTTGCAATTCCTATTGGTTTCACATCATCTTGGTATCAGAACATGGTTTGTTCAAGTTGCATGTGCTAGGATTCATCTTAGATTTCTAAATAGCCAAATTTAAGTTTACTTAGTTGTGTAATATTGCATCCATTTGAAATAACACATTGTTGGTTTGATGTCCATACAACTTCTGCATCATTTAGTAAGCTTTAGGAGTGTTGGCATATAGGTTTAGGTGCTGCCCCCCTATCCCTTAACATCCCTAAGTGTCACCTAGTGTGTCTCAATGGACCCAGAACAAATTTAGCGTACTTTAGACTTGATCGTAGGACAGTTAGGTAATGTGACCCAACAAATTAGAGAAACCCAAGGCGAGTTAGCTGACTTTAGACGACAAGATGGAGACTGTCTAGACCACATTGAAAGGTTAGGAAACCATACAATGTATATTCCTAGACCTCTGTCCCCGTATTTCAAAGAACCTCGAGCTGACTACGAACCACCTAGAGACCAATACCATCAGAACCATAGACCTAATAAGGAACCTGTAGGTCACGATCAGATTTGGAGAGATAATGATGTGTAGTGATGTAGACAAAGGGGGGGTCAACTCATGTCAAAAATAATTAGATTTTTTGCTTCCCTTGAGTCTACTATTTGAGCTGAAATTTTAGCTCATTTATGAGCTGGACTTTAGTTCATTTATTGAACTAAGGGTTAGCTCATTATTAGCTAACATTTTAGTTCATTTATTATCTTACTTTTTATTAAATGTTATTTAGAGTTTTAAAGTCTTCTTTTATAATGTCTCTTGGGATTCCAAAAAGGGCTTTTGAAATCCCAAGAAAGGTGTTTTGTATTCCCATGCATGACTCCTTGGTTTCCTTCATAGTTTCATTGCATTTGCCCCATTGAATTCCGGCCGGCTGCTGGTTTCCCGTGCCTGGGCTCTTTTCGTGGCTGTGCCCCCTTGGTTCCCCGCTCGGCCTCCTTGGCTCCCACGGCTACCTCTTCGGTTTCTTGGCTTGGGATTTATTTTTAGGTGTTTTCATGTTGTTAGTTAATGTAATGTGTCCCTTTGTATTCCCTTTCATACCTATATATATGGGGGATTGTTTATGTTTGAAAAAAGTTGAATGAAATGTTATTTTTGGAAAAGCTTTAACCTGCGAGTTTGCTTTGGAAATCCTGTGGGCTCTTTCCACCCTTCTTTCTCATCCCTCCGGAAATCCTGCGGGCTCTTTCCAACCTTTCTTCTCGGGCTTCTAACCTATTTCGTCTCTCCACAAGTGCCACTCCATCTGTATCTTTCTTCCAAGTGCAGCAACTTTAGGGTGTCTTTTTATTTTATTTGGAGTCGTTTGTAAGAGTTTAGTTATTAAAACCAACGTTTGTAGTGTTAATTTCCGTTGCTTAGTTTTATTTAAGTTACCTCTTCTTTTTGAGGTATTTTGTATCTTCTTTTTTATAGGAAGTCAGTTTTTCTTCTTGTGATCAAAAAATATAGGCTCCCATATATTTTTTGGTTACATCACGCAGTTACTCAAGAACATCTGAATCGATGCAACTTCCTTTGATGGCACCCTTGACCCCCAGGTTTTCCTGGATTGACTTAAAGGAATTGATAGCTATTTTAGGTGGTACAACATTTAGGAAGCGAAAAAAGTTAGATTTGCTGAAATGAAGTTGACTGGTAGGTAGGGCTAGCCAGTACTGGACTAACCTGGAACATATGCATGAAACTCGAGGAGAATACCCTATCACTAATTGGAGGACAATGAAACAAGAGCTCAAGCAAAAGTATGTTGCCCTTTCCTACTATCCCAGACTTTTAGATCGTTGGAATAGGTTAACCCAGGGTAGTAAACCAGTGAAGGATTACATCTCTGCTTTTGATGACTTCATGATCCACTGTAGTGGTGAGGAAACTACCAACCCAGCCCAACTTTTGTCTATGTTTAGAGCCGAACTTAGGGAAGACCTTCGAAATGAACTTTTTGCTAGAGAAATTACCACCTTAGAGGCCACTTGTAGTATGGTGCTAAACTTGGAAGAATCTAAGAATCATGCCCACTCGAAAGGCCAAGACTTACGCTCTAACCCTTTTAAATCCTCCAACCAACCCCAAAACAAATCACCTGGTCCCATGACTGGTCGCCCCACTGTTGGATAATTCTAACCCCATTCTGACTTTAATAACAACACCCCTGAACTTGAAACACCCAAAATCCCTACGGGAACCAAATGTTTTAGGTGTCATGGGTATGAACATATAGTCTCCCAATGTCCCAGCCCCTATAAGGTAAGCATAATCGAAGAAGTTATCGATGAAGAGGATGAACCTGACATCGAACTAGTTCATCACATCGATGACGAAGAAGACTTTTTCTGTGATGAAGACATGCCGTGATCCACTGCTTGCATAAGATTGATCACTTATATCAACAAGTTGTTAGGTGTGCCTTATCACAACCTAAGCTGGGTGACGATTGTTATAGAACTTCCATCTTCCATACTTTCACCAAAATTGATGATAAGAACCGTAATGTTATCATTGATAGTGAAAGCTGTATTAACGTTGTTTCGTTTACTATGATCTCTAAGCTTCGCCTAAAAACTATTCCGCACACGAACCCCTACAAGGTCGCTTGGATCAACTCAACCGCCTTGGAAGTAAAAGAAAGAAGTCTTATCCCCGTTGAATACATGGGATACAAGGAAAATATCTAGTGTGATGTTTTAACAATGGATGTTGGTTAGAACATCCATGGTCGTCCCTGGCTGTTCGATAATGACGTTCATATCTATGGGAGATATAACACCTGCATGTTCAAGCACGATGGTAAGAAGATCAAGCTCTGTAAACCCACTCCCCTTAAACCAACACAGGCCTAAACCTGTTAACTCCCAAAGACCTAGATACTGAACTAGTGTTGGGTTCACCCCTATATGCCTTAGTAGCTTGGGAAGTGAGAGCGGATCTAGAAGAACCTATCCCATATTAGGTTAAGCCCCTCCTTGAAACATTTGCTGACATTTTCCCAGAGGATTTACCCAACCAACTCCCACCTATAAGGGACATCCAACACGTCATCGATTTAGTACCTGGAGCTTCCCTTCCCAACCTACCTCATTATAGCAGGAACCCTACGGAGCATGCTGAACTTAAGAGACAGGTAGATGAACTCCTGCAGCATGGTTTTATTAAGGAAAATCTTAGTCCTTGCACTGTCCCTGCCCTCTTAACCCCCAAGAAGGATGGCTCGTGGAGGATGTGTGTTGATAGTCGCGCTATCAACAAAATCATGGTCAAATATCGTTTTCCTATTCCTTGTCTAGATGACATGTTATATATGATGACCGGAGACACCCTATTTTCCAAAATTGACCTCAAGAGAGGTTATTACCAAATTAGAATTCATCCTGGAGACAAATAAAAAACTACTTTTAAAACTAAGGATGGGTTATACAAATGGACGATTATACCTTTTGGTCTGAGTAACACACCAAGTACATTTATGAGAGTTATGACACAAGTCCTCAGACCCTTCCTAGGAAAATTCATAGTAGTCTACTTTGATGATATTCTAATCTATAGTAATTCGGGGGACCAACATCTAAATCATTTAAAACAAGTCTGTGAGGTTTTGAGGAATGAACAATTGTATGCTAATCCTAAGAAATGTATGTTATTCATAGATAGTGTTACTTTTCTCGGATTTATTATATCTTCTCAAGAATTTTCACTGATCCCGAAAAGGTGCGAGCAATTAATGAGTGGCCCGAACCTAAAAATATTAGAGATGTTCGGAGTTTTCATGGACTGGCCACATTTTATCGGAGGTTTATTCGAAACTATAGCACCAATATAACCCCTATAACGGACCGTCTCAAAAAGGGTAAATTTCTTTGAACCTCAGCTGCCTCTAAAGCTTTTGATGAAATCAAGAAGAAAATGGTAGAAGCCCCGGTTATGCGCCTACCTGATTTTTCTAAAGTCTTTGAAGTCACATGTGACGCCTCAGGCATTGGCATTGGTGACATCCTGTCCTAAGAAGGCCACCCCGTAGCTTACTTTAGTGAAAA